CTTAACAAATCCTCCTCGTATTTCGGAGACTGCTACAGTCTCGTATTTCGGACACTTTATCTTCCACCTGATCCCACAACGATAAAAAAACTCAAACCTGACCTGCTCTCACCAAGTCTGACCGCCCATCTACATCTGACATGACCGCCTTGGACTTGGATCCCTGAAGCACCATCTTGTTTCGGGAGACAAGCACAATTGCATCCACAAGTTTCCTACTTTTGTTTGAAGAAGCCACACATAGCACTCTGGCGAAAGGACATCCGTCATCAGTCAACCGCACACAACAATATGATAGAGCTTGTGGAGAAGTCCCTGGGCAACATGGTGGGTACTGTTCCAAGAACGAACAATGACGAGCGCAGTCCACCAACTCTTGCTTCTGCGAATGTCCCCAAGTTCGGGGCGAAGATGTGATGTACTCGCAGGCCATGCGACTGCTCCACCTGCTGCGGTAGCGGATCGGTTTACGCTTATCGCCCAGGATCTTTCGACGGAGGACACCATCAGGCAGTGTAATGAGTCTCCCGAACTCCAACAGGTTGGTAAACTTGTAATGGCTTGCCCAAGGGCAAGCACGCTCCATCGCCTTCCAATCATTATCGTTCCATTCGTCGAGATGCCGGTTCATGTACGGGACAACGGTCATCCATGGGTCATCTTCGAAGTCCACTTCGGTTGCTTCGTCGATCCACATTTGACTGTCATGATGCCGCACCGATCTCGCACAAGGTGAAAACAGTTTTGCTAAGCGTATGTGCTTCTTGGCAGTCATGCTGATGCTTGTCGACGGACCCGACGACAGTACACTCCCTACACATCACGCACACATGGACACACATACGGACGTGGAGACTGTCGTAAACAAGGTTGGTAAACGATAACTCCGCTGATGAGGCCAACACCCAGTTGTCACGCCCAGCACTTTTCATCGGCAAGGCCCTCATAGAAGGTCGCCAATAGCAAATTGCGAAGTAAAAAGAGACGTTCCCAGATATCACTCCACGCGAATGGTCTTTCCATATTGCATTCTAAAGCACAAAGAGGCTTTCAAAAATCACGAAGTCCACGGAGGTTTTTCAAGAAGTCATGCAGGGACACGTTCCAAAGCAGATGCGAGATTTCCAAAAATCATTAAAACCCACGCTGTAAAGTACATGGAGCTGAGAGGAATAGTCGGACGACCCACGCCGTCGTGTACACAACATGCATTTCTGGATATCTTCGGGAAAAACGAAACAGCACACCGACGTCGTATAGTCTACATGACACCGCCTCATCCACAGAAGACGCTTTCGTACAGTCGACATGACACGTCGTTTTCACCAGAGCGACGAAAGCACAAACCCTACGTACCACGGTCATTTCGAACACCAGCTGAACCAAAGTGCAACACAAGTCGGAAACTCCTACATCGTACTAGAAACGAACCCTACGTAAAGTACGAACATTCGGACACGAGTCCAACCGAAGTCCTACACATGAGTTGATTCAAGCCGAAGACGTACAACTGATTCAAGCCGAAGTTGCTTAGTAGACAAAAGCTCATCCAAACCCGACACGGTGTTCACCTGCCAACAGAAGTCCCAGACAGAAGGTCATCCAAGCCTGATACGCGTCCACAATGCGGCAGGGCCAGAAACGTTGCAAAAGGCATGACAGGAGGGATGAAGCACCGAAGGGAAATTCCTTTATCCACATCTATTCGCAGCGTAGATCTCGCAATGTTCAATTTCATGTCAAGAATCCCGGTGCGGATGCCTCGGATTCATAACTAGCGAAGATGTAAAATCAGAAGGCCATGCCCTTTCCCATTATCATCCCCACCCTTTGACATGCCGAAGTCGCACAGTAGACGAAAGATCACCCATGCCTGACACGACGTCGCAAGGAAGGGGCAAGCGGAAGGTGTTTATTTCTTCCGCATTGGGTAATGCAACACTCACACAGAACTTATCAGTTCCGCCTCGCTCCGAAACGTGTGATGTAGTTCGGATCAATCCGAGCCACACACCTCAGCGCAATGGAAGTCCCGAGGTGACCATCCCGCCCAGTGACGGAAGGTGTCATGGGGAAAGGGAAACGACGGCACACTGCACGCATCTGAATTACAACACACCATGATTGAGGGTCAACACTCATGTGATTTGTTATTGTTTTTACCTTCCGAATGGCGAAATTTAAACATCTCGCAGGACCTGTTGGTACCGCCTGACTCAAACCGTTCGCTGTGGTCCGGATTAATCCGAACCACATCACTCGACCGCAATAGAGTCTGATTTACCTGCCACGTTGAGCAGGTGTGTCTCATGAACGGGGTAGGCACTCTTTGCTTTTGTCTGAGTTATTTTCTTCCACATGGGGTAATGCAGACATCGCAAAGGACGTGTTGGTTCCCCCTGACTCCTAACTGTGCGATGTGAATCGGATGAATCCAAACCACATCCCTCGGTGCCAGGGGAGTCTCATCCATCTACCACATCCCTCCCGGTGAAATGAAGTCTCACGTGGCGGCGACGACGACTTGTCATGTATCCGATGAACATGCGGCGAAGTGGTAGCACTGTTCACTGTCATGCGTGTTTTGGTCCTCGTGGAAAGTGCAGGCAGGTATAGTCGCTCAACATCCCAATTACCGTCGCTCTTTCCAAGCAGGTGGTTCGGATTAATCCGAACCACACATCTCCGCAAATCATGACTCCGTGGCTTTTGTCAGTGTTCATTTTTTCCCGCGTTGGTTAATCCAACACTCACACAGGACTTATCAGTTCCGCCTCACTCCAAAACGTGTGATGCAGTTCGGATCAATCCGAACCACATCCCTCAGCACATTGGAAGTCCCGAGGTGACCATCCCGCCCAGTGACGGAAGGTCTCATGGGGAAAGGAAAATGACGGCACACTGGACGCATCCGAAATACAACATACCATGACTGAGGGTCAACACTTATGGCATTTGTTATTGTTTTTCCCTTCCAAATGGCGAAATGTAAACATCTCGCAAGACGTGTTGGTACCACTTGAATCAAACCGTTTGTTGTGGTTCGGATTAATCCGAACCGCATCCCTCCAAGGCAATGGAGTCTGATTTATCTGCCATGTTGCGCAGGTGTGTCTCATGAACTAGGGTAGGCACTCTTGGCTTTTGTCTGAGTTGTTTTCCTCCACATGGGGCAAAGCAGACAACGCAAAGGACGTGTTGCGTGCTCGTGACTCCTTACCGGGCGATGTGAATCGGATGTATCCGAACCACATCCCTCGGTGCCCGGGGAGTCTCATCCATCTGCCACATCCCTCCCGGTGAAGCGAAGTCTCACGGGGCGGCGGCGCAGACTGGGCATGTATCCGACCAACATGCGGCGAAGTGGAGGCACTGTTGACTGTCATGCGTTTTTTCGTCGTCGTGGAAAGTGCATGGAGGTATGGTCGCACAACATCCCAGTTACCGTCGCGCTTTCCAAACACGTGGTTCGGATTAATCTGAACCACGACTCAGAAGGATCGGAACCGTTTGACTCCCATCGACCTGGAGTCTCGCATGGATGGAATATCGACGGAACAGGCCATCGCCTTCCAAGTTGACATCTTACGGAATAGTGAGTCGGATGCATCCGAAACAAAATTCATAACATGAGATTGCCAATTGGGAAATGTGCGCACGAAACAGATGCTGTGAAAGGACTTGGAGGGATGTGGTTCCCGTTGAGACTTCCCAGGGGCCGAGGGATGTGGTTCGGATTCATCCGGACTACATCACACGTTCCGAAGTGAGGTGGAACAAACACGTTCCCGTTGAGACTTCCCAGGCGCCGTGGGATGTAGTTCGGATTCATCCGAACTACATCACACGTTGCGGAGTGAGGCGGAACAAACACGTCCAGCGTAAGATTGCGTTACCCCTTGTGGAAGACAAAGAACACCAACAAAAGCCATGAGTGGCGTTCATAACACTTGTTCCGGTCGAAGTTCGGATACATCCGAGCTCGGGATGAAGGCAATAGTAGATGTCATTCGCAATGTCATTGGTTGGAAGACGATGGCCCCTTACGTCCAACCCATCGTTTTCACGCGACGTCCCCCCATGGGGAGTTCTAAGGCGACCCCCTGTCCATGACAACCTGCCACTCTCACGCTCCCGCTGAATGCCCGTGCACGCCCCCCTAAGTCACTCTGGAAAACGGGGCCAGGATGAATTGGAATCGAAATGTAGTCGGCGGGGATCGAGAGCTGATCATTCTACGAAGTCATTGGTGCGTTTCTCCAGCACAGATTTCGCCACTGTTTTCGTCGCGCAGATTGTCCACGTCAGAGTTCGGCCAATACGAATCATGGCGTGGGGACGGGGTGCCGCACGGGTGGCGGTGCTGTGACGTTTTCGTGGGCGCGCGATGGAACTTGTCAACTCTCGTTCCATCTCCGAAATGTTGCCAATGCGCGTCCGGTGTGCCGCGCCCGGTGACGTGAGGGTTCCTCGTTGCTAGTTGCGTGTGCGACAACGGGCGATGAGTCTTGGATATGTCTTGTGGGCCTTCGCATATGGGTGGTTCGCGCAATCGTTCCGACCAATGGAAGATGAGGAACGTGCAGGTCAGCCGGAACAAGATCCGGGGGTCGTCCACAACCACGATAGATATGTTGGATCACCAAGTCGATTGGGAACGAGCTCGATCTTGGCCCTTGGCGATGGGATGTTGCAGGAATGGCAGTGATCTGGGATGTTGTGGTTTTGCCATGGAACTTGTCAGTTCCATTTTCGTCTCCTATGTGCGCAACGGGTCTTCGCTAGACGTTGCCGATGGGTGGCTTTGTCACTGCTGGCTGTGCGTGCGACACGGGCGATTCGTGTTCGAGGTGCACATTTGCTTTCGCAGAGGAGACGATTAACGCCTGACAAATGTTGAGTGCAGACGCGTTTGTCGTGAGGCTCCGAGCGCAGCGCTCCGCTGTCAGGGACACGGGATAATGTGATCACCGCTGCGATAATACACCATCCGATAGGCGTCAACACCGGAGATGGGTGGACGAGATCTGAAAGTCGATCGACACGCGTTTTTCAGGACATCAAGAGCGATGGCGATATCACCACAATTATGGGAGAACATCCGGAAGGAAAACGGAACATCAAATGGATCGACACGCGATTTTGAGGGCGTCAGGAAGCAACGGCGATGAGACTTCGTCCACACGTCAGATGCCGTCGTTGGAGGCGTCCGACGATCTTGACTGCGAAAGCCGCAAGCCATTGCCATTTGCTGACGTCATGCACAAGATGATGATGTCAGCGTGTGTCATTGAATGGGGACTTTCGTGACTTTCGTGGTTGTGATCTGTGGACGTCGTGGACTCAAGATCGTGCGCATATCGACTCGTGTGTGATTGACGGAGCAGGTGGTGCTGTAGAGCAAGACTTGCACGGCCGACTGCATTGCGATATCCTGAGTAGACTGGGAAAGAGGACCCTCAACCCAGGGTCGAAGAAAGTGGATCGTCAAGCGATCTTGAGGACGTCAGGAAGCAACGGCGATGCAACTTTGTCCACGGGTCAGATGCCGTCGTCGGAGGCGTCCGACGATCTTGACTGCGAAAGCCGCAAGCCATTGCCATTTGCTGACGTCCTGCGCAAGATGATGACGTCAGCGTGTGTCACTGAATGGGGACTTTCGTCGTTGTGATTGGTGGACGTCGTGGGCTCAAGATCGTGCGCATATCGACTCGTGCGTCGTCGACGGAGCAGGTGGTGAGGAAGAACAAGACTTGCACGGTCGAAGAAAAAGTTGAAGGGAAATGAGAAGAGGTGGGGGTTTGAAAGAGTGAAGGGGCCGAGCAGGCGGCGTGGGCTTCTTACTGACCTGCGAGTCGATAAACACCTCCGACCGACGTACGAAGAGCACAACGCGAACGCGTCCACGCGCAAGGTCGACAATCACGTGTCGTTTACGTTAGCGCCCCCTGCTATCGACGATTGTTGGAAGACCGAAGGCCTGAATGCGCATGGGGCCTGCAATATGAAGGTGGCGACTTCGAGCGATGGCGGAAGCGTCGCAGCGGCAGCACACGGAAGAAATGACACCAGCGAATGGGTGTGACAGCCACCCCGGTCCGTTTGGTGCTCGCCAGGGGAACGGTGAGTGCAGGGAGTGGGGCTTGAGGGCCCCTACAGCAGGCCGCCGTAGGGTCAGTAACGGCGGACAGTCGCGTCGGGGGCTGTGACATCAGGCGGTCCCTTTTTTTCGGACCGTCCACACGAAATCGCCCGTTCCGTAACCGTTGCAGGAGGGCGGGCCGTGATTTCGAGAGGACTGGTCATTTTTTACCGTGATATCGACGGTTCCAATGCATCATCTGGCGGGAATTTTCCCGCCCACTTTTGTTTCACGGGGCCCACGCGGATGTATCCGCCACTCGAATGATGGTAGGGCCATTCCGCGAATTTGCATCAGAACGCTTTAGCCGCAGGCAATTGTAGGTGTCGCCAACCCATAAGGCGGACAATGCCCCTCTCGCGCCCGCAGAATCCGCCCTTGCCAGCGCCATATCCATCTCGTCGCCATCTCCCCTGCCGTCTCCCCGGCGTCTCCCTCGCTTCGCTCTCTCTCCCTCGTCGACATATCCCTCGCGTCGCCATCTCCTTCGTGTCGCAATCTCCCACGTCTCCATTCGCGGTGTCGCCGTCTCCCGCGTCGGCAGCTCCCGCTTCGCAATCTCCAGCGTCGCCGTTTCGCACGTCGCGACACGCATCGTCATATCGCGGGTCGGGATCCTCACCCACGTCGCCGGGGCCGTTGTCTTCCAACAGCAGTTGTAATCCTAGGAAGGAAAAGGTGCGTTCTCTCTCTCTTTCTATCTCTCTTACTCATCTCTCTCTCTCTCTCTCTCTCTCTCTCTCTCTCTCTCTCTCTCTCTCTCTCTCTCTCTCTCTCTCTCTCT